TAAAGATAGGAAATGAAGAAGTCAAATTGTCATTACTTGCAGATGACATGATACTCTATATAGAAGACCCCAAGAACTCCACCAAAAGTCTTCTAGACTTAATAACCAAATTCAATCAAGTAGATGGTTACAAAGTCAACACACAAAAATCAATAGCTTTCCTCTACACAAATGACAGGCTCACTGAGAAAGAAATAGGGCATATAATTCCTTTCACAATAGCATCCAAAAAATTGAAATACCTAGGAATCAACCTAATGGAAGAAATCAAAGATCAGTTCTCTGAAAACTATAGCACTCTGAAAAGAGGGATTGAAGATGATATCAGAAAATGGACAGACATCCCCTGCTCCTAGGCAGGAAGGATTAATATAGTGAAAATGACCATACTTCCAAAACTACTATATAGATTTAATGCAATTCCAATTGAGATCCCAGCAACATACCTCATGTACCTTGAGAAAACAATCCAAAAATTCATTTGGAACAAGAAGAGATCCAGAATAGCAAAAGCAATTCTACCCAACAGAGATATGGCAGGAGGTGCAACTATACTACAAAGCTACTGTGATAATACAGCATGGTACTGGCAAAGAAACAGACCTGAGGACCAGTGGAACAGATTAGGAGATGCAGAAACAACTCCAGACACACTCAGCCATCTCACCTTTGATAAAGGAGCCAAACACCCTCACTGAAGGAAAGAGAGCTTCTTTAATAAATGGGGCTGGAAAAATTGGGTTTCAACTTGCCAAAGATTAAAACTAGACCTATATCTCTCACCATGCACTGATCCAAAATTGAAATAGATTAAAGATCTAAATTTTAAAATAGAAACACTGAACCGGCTGGAACAGAGGTTAGGTAGAACTCTTGAAGACATCGGTGTAGGAAAAGGTTTCATGAACAAAACTTCAGTTGCCCGTGAACTGGCACAATCAACAAGTGGGATCTCTTCTTATTAAAAAGCTTCTACACAGCAAGAGAAACCACCAGCAGTGAGAAGAGGCAACCCACAATGTGGGAAAAAATCTT